TTTATAACTGGTAAAAGGGGTTTTCTTTTCTTTTTATTTTTCTGTGATTTCACATTGAATCATCAGGATAGTACCTGCGTTTTCAGCAAGTTCAAATACATCTTTTTGGATACTATTACATATTTACACATTTAGCAAAAAGTTAGCTACTGCTAAAAATGGGTCCCGATTTCAAAGTTTATTTCCCCGCAAATAAATTTTAATTTTGACTGACGATCTTTTATTGAATTATGGATTTATATTATTTAAATAAAGACGCCAAAATAATTTTTTTATTTCAGTTTTTAGTATGTACCTGGTACATAAATGAATAAGTTTTTCCTCGAAATTTAAAACACCCTGTATTATCAGCGAGCTAAACTAACAAATCTACTTAGGTCTTCTTAAATCGAACTGTCGTCCAAATCTTTTCTGAACAATTTATTTGTAGTCATGTTATTATCTCTGTTGTTATTTGAGATACACAGTTAAATTATTAAAGCCTACTAAACTTTATGTATAAATAAAAAAAAATAAGACATAGCGGTAATAGATAATAATAACACAGCCCCCAAAAAAAAAAACGTATCGGATCTGGTATTCAGACTCGTGTATATCCATGTATTTTTTTCCGCTGAATCCGAATCTGCCTTCAGATTTGGCCCAACGGGTCTGTTTTCAGGAAAATTCAAAAAACAGGTCAAAATTCACAAAAAACGTCATTTACGATCGGCGAAAGTTATAAAAAGTAAAATTATTCTACCAGCTCACTAGACGTATGGTTTTTCACTCGTTTAATTCCAATTTATCATCATAGAGTCAAAGCTGGTCCAATTTCATGCAAAAATGGAAAATGGATCAAAATGCTTAAAAACGCCATTTTCATGGCATAATTCGTGTTGCAGAGTTCTGGAACCATTTTTTTATCCACCCACCCATTTATGAATTTATACATCTTTCTATCCAATCGTTCATGCATGAATACGCATATTTATCCATCCACCTGTACCACCTATAAAACCCACTCATCCACCCATCTATCCATCTACTTTTTGTGCTGAGAGATGAGGTAACAGCCTAGAAGATTGAGAATGCAATAAAACTTGTAGAATACCTACTCTACTTTCTAAACAAAAGAAAACGATATCTACAAATCATTCTTATTTTTGTTGCTATAACGTGTTCTCTTTTCTTCGAGTTTCTATGCAAAGCGTTACGCTTTCGTTTAGTTCCTCTATTTTTCGTTTCTCTTTTTAACAACCAGCAAAAATCAGCCATTAATGTGTGATCCTATCTTCCTTGATATCGCTGTTTTATAAACTTCACATCCTGATGAGATTGTTCGCCTTGTTCTTCGCTACAATCTCTAAGATTTTCAGGAAACCAATCCAGATGTATATGAAGGAAGTGCAACTTGTAGTCCATCAAACATCTTGGAAGTCTTTTATCAATTTTAATACAATTTCTTTGTATTTAGGACTCTTATTGTTTCCTAACAAAATTGTCGCTACAACTTTGAAACAATTCCAAGCACTCTTCTCAACACTACTCCTTGTAGTGATGAATGTTGCATCCTTGAACAATGTCCGAATCTGGGGTCCATCGAATACACCTTCTTTCAATTTCGCCTCAGCAATATTCGGAAATTTTCGCTCTTTATATACATAGGGCGAAAACTTGTTGGTTGTTAAAAAGAGAAACGAAAAATAGAGGGGCTAAACGAAAACGTAACCCTTTGCATAGATCCTTTGAAGAAAAGAGAACACGTTATAGCAACAAAAATAAGAATAATTTGTAGACATCGTTTTCTTTTGTTTAGAAAGTAGAGTATTCTACAAGTTTTACTGCATTCTGAATCTTCTAGGCTGTTATCACATCTCTCAGCAGAAAAAGTAGATGGATATATTGGTGGATGGCTGGGTTTTATAGATGGTACAGGTGGATGGATAAATATGCGTATTCATGCATGAACGACTGGATAGAAAGACGTATTCATAAATGGGTGGATAAAAAGATGGATTTAGAACTCTGCAACACGAATTATGCCATGAAAATGGCGTTTTTGATCTATTTTCTGTTTTTGAATAAAATTGGACCAGCTTGTCTGACTATGATGGTAAATTGGAATTAAACGAGTGAAAAATCATACGTGTAGTGAGCTGGTAGAATAATTTTATTTTTTATAACTTTCGTCGATCGTAAATGAAGTTTTTTGTGAATTTTGACCTGTTTTTTGAATTTTCCCGAAAACTCAGACCCGTTGGGCCAAATCTGAAGGCAGATTCGGATTTTGCGGAAAAAAATACATGGAAATACATGGGTCTGAATACCAGATCCGATACTTTTTTCTCTTTATTGGTTTTATTCTTTATTTTTGTTATGGATTTTTTTTGCGGTCACCGATTTTTTTATCGCTATTATTGTTTAAATTATTGCAATAAACTAGTAGGTTTTAATTTAACTGAATACCTCAATTAGCAGAAAACAAGGTGAATCGAATAACAAGGTGTTTGGAAAAGAAGGCACAATAGTCTGATTCAAGTGAATATTCACTTTTTTACCCGGTGTACCATACAAGGTGTTTGAATATTTCGGAGAAAAACCTATTCTGGCCTACATCCTGTATATTATATTGTTTTTTACCATTGAATGTTATTTTATTACCGTTCTGCAGTCTCCTGTTCTATGATTAGATGTAAAATCTGTAGAGGTGTGTATTATCTATTAATTAAATAAATAAATAGATATTCTAAAAACTGTTTCAATGAAAAAATATGTCCCTCTTTCTTTTATACAGGGTGATTCACAAATGGTGACCAAAACCTCGTGTTCTATGGTGAATTTTAAGGGGAATCTTTCCTATAAAGATTTTATTTAGGACGCTTCGTTAAAATGATACAGGGTGTTAAACTTCAAAAAAAAATTATAATTTTTTAAATAATTTAAAAACTAGTAAGTGAAATAATTTGAAATTGGGCACATGCATTTATATAAACATTGTCCAATATCTGAGGGCTTTTCGTAAAATTTACATGCTCCAGTGGCGGAGATACAGGGTATCGGTGGCATATTTTTCTAAATAAAATAGTACGCCACTGCTTTACGATAACAATCATAATATTTTCGGCTTCGTCTTTCAATTTTCTACAAATACTATTCTCTTATGTTTTTTGAAAAAGCCTGATTTTCGAGTAAAACTTAAAAAACGAACTGAGAAAAAATACACTTCGATATTCAAATACAATGCTTTTTAAAATTACATAGTGGGATGCGATAGCAACTTTGATATTCTGAGCAGTTAGAAGAAAGAGTAAATAAAGCTTTTCTTCAGGTTCAAGCAACAATAAATTTCGAGCAAATTACATTTTCATTACTAAAAAGATGTCGGAAATGAAAGTATTTTTGAGCATTTACTCAAATAAAATCATTAAAATGGTGACTATTGTTATTAATTTCTTTATTCGAATAAATAACCGAATGATTAGTGCTTGTCAATGTCATTTAAGTAAAAGTGTTTTCAGTTGCCTAATACTTACTAGTTTTTAAATTTTAAAAAAATTAAAAATATTTTTTGAAGTTTAACGCCCTGTATCTATCTTTTTAACGAAGCCCCCTAGATAACAACTTTATAGGAAAGACTCCCCTTAAAATTCACCAAAGAATACGAGGTTTCATTTTTGGTCACCATTTGTGAATCACCCATAAGTAGCTATTTTTTTTCATATTGAGCATTTTCGCAACAACAGAACGCGTGGATAAAATTCTATTATATTTTTCACGGAAAGTTTGTTTTCCTGAATCAATCTGCTCGACATCCGTAATGGTACGTAACTAAAAAACAATTAAGAGCATCGACTCAAATAGATATTCATCTGTTAACTTCACGATTAGCAATAATGTCAGCTGTCTGCATACATGCACTGTTTTCCAATACGTACTCCTCGAATTTCAAATTCGGACTAGGTGTGTTTAAAAGTGTTTGTTTTACTAATTGTTCAATCTCTTGCGAAATTGCTAATAATATTGTTGCGTACCTACTAGGTTTAAAATAATTTTAACTGATGAGGCAATTAAAAAAATTTTGTTTCCAGTTAAACCGGAAGTTGGAATCTTCAAAATATAATCACTTCCTGCTACACCATAACACATGAGTTAGTTTTTATGTTCTATCAGTCCTTAATTTTTTGGGTCTAATTCTGGACCACCCTGTATAAAGCAGAGTGCTTATGGACCTTGTAGAACAAATGATAAAAAGTATTGGAATAGTTGTCCTTTAGATTTTGTTATTATTAGTTTTATTTTCTTGTCATCCTAGACCCAGGCAAAAAAATTGTTTATAAAAGTGTACTGTTACTAAGTGTAGGTACGTTAAATTGCTGTTAAATCAACTAAGGTATCGCAAAACTTAATATTTACTTTATCTGTGTTTACAATACAAAGGTATGCTTAAATATGCTGAATAAGAATATGGTTTTCTTGTAACTTCTTTATCAGACTGTAACTTCAGCAGAGTGCCGTTCTTCTATCAGCTATTAATATTATACAGTGTGTCTACAATTACATGTGTATATTTGATTTTGTATCGGAAAAGTTGCTACAAAAACAAAAAAAAAATGATGACGGAATTGTTGAAATTTTGACGATAAGACGAGTTTGGTGATGCGATTTTTTAGGGTTTAAAACGAGGTTGAGAAATTGCAACAATTTTTTGCAATTATATTGAGGTTCCTTATGTACTTAAACTGTTTATTTTTTACAATTTTCTGGGACGTGTATTTTTTTATATAATAATTTTATTTTCTCAGTGCCAGTTCTAGTTTTAAAAAACAAAATTTTTTTGTCACTTATTCAATGTTATTCAATTTTTTATACATTTATTGCAACTGGAGGGGAATGTATCATAAATAACAATTATAATATTAAATTATATTTAGCCTCTTCAAGTAAATATTTTTCTTTTTCTGATTTTTCCCGCGGATTCTCAATTTTTTGTAAATAAAACTTCAAAATCTGTCACTTACCTTATACGAGGTGGCGCGTGGAATAAAAAATCAGTCGATCACTACAAAAATAAACGTTCATTCACTCACTGCCTTTCCAACCCCATGAATTTGGGTAGCCTGGAGACTGATCCCGGCGGTACACTGTTGATAGGCTCGATTAAAGTGGCGAAATCACGGCGTGCGCTCTGTTATACAGTGTCCTCTTTTAACACCTAGCTACTGGTCCTGAATGCAAATAAGGGTGGGGCGTGCTAGCCGTTGTAGGTTTCCGATAATTCATTATAGTCTACTTGACATCTTGAAAATCGTGAAAAATACTGATAATTCGAGTTAAGGGATAGTTGAGGGCTCATTCGATTCGGGATGACGTCTAGAAGTATGCGAATAAAAATCGTATTCGCACATAAACAATTGCAAAAGTTATAAACAAATAAAGTTTAAAAAAAATTGGTTCGGTTTTTTTGCGAAACTCGAAAAATATAAGCGTTGGCGCCAATTTGGAAAAAGATCTTAAAAGAAGAGGGAATTTCCTATAAAAATGTCCCAACTCCAGAATCTCTGTCTTATAATTTATAACTTTAATTTTATGTTGAAAATAGGCAGGGCCGGATTAACCTAAGGTGATGCCCGGGGCTACAAGTTCTACGCAGGCCTCGTTCTTAAAAAAACGATCACGCAATAAGCAACTTGTGGATATAAAATTTCAAAACCTAAACAGTTTTTGGTTTGATTCTAAAAAAAAGCTAAAACTCATTTTGCCAGATTTTGCCGAGGCCCCCTGATCTCGTGAGGCATAGGGCTACAGCCCCTTAAGTAGGCCCTAAAAATAGGGTTTTTAGCGTTGAAAGCAATGCACGTACTGCGCCGCGAAACATACCCTAAGGCATACATTTTTATTTATAATATTAAATTAAAATTTAAAAAAATTACCGTATTATGTATTTAGAAACTTGAATAAAAAAAATTCCGTCAAGAAATATTTTTTTTATCGATTTTTCAACAAACAGAACCATTGTTAATTAACTAAAAATTTTAGAGTTCACGTTAACATTCAAAGTCGGAAAATTGTTTAAAAAAAAGTGCTAAAATTATTTCGCTTCGTGGAGACCTTTTGACAACTATACTTGGAGAGATCACTTTAATGCGATCTCTAAATAGTTATTAATTTTCTTAATTAACAAAAAATAAAAAATTAATAAAGAGTGGTCAAAATAATTTTTTAAGGGAAAATGATGTTGGTACTATTTTTGTGTTAGAAAGTGACATTGAAAAACATTAGCTAAACATTTTTCAATACTTACATTTGTTTAAATAATTTTTATAAACAAATGCAATTACATATTTTTCAAATTTTTTTTTACATTTTATTCTTTAATTAGAGGACGTACACCGGTGGCTCACAGTGAGTATCCTATTAGATTATTTCAGAACCTACTTCGATTTCAATTTTGAAAATTGGCACACATGTCAACTTTGTTATTTTAAATGGGACACCCTATATATTATTACATTTTCAGATCCTACGTGAAATTTGAGGGTCCCTATATCTAGGAATTATAGATTTTGAGATATTATTTTTTAAAGAAAAAAATTTGACAGATGCAAAGGTCTGCGGAAATGCTGGTAACTCGTTTCAAGAGCGTGATATTAAGTGGATTTTTGGTACCTGTAAAGGGCATAGGTAACACTAAATCGTGGTATACCAACAAATTAAAATTAAAATATTTAATACTAGGTGTTTCATTTTTGCTGTTACATTTTGTTAACTTCAAACAGCTATAACTTTGTTAACTTAAATGGAACACCCCGTATTTTTTTACTCTGTCGAATGCAAATTGAAATTTCCTTTCAAGCCATATAAGCATTGTTAGGGTTGATGTTACTATTTTTAGAGATATTTGCAATTTTCTATTTTTTGGATAGTTTTTTACGTATCAGACCTATTATCAAATTGGCCATGATCAGAGATACTCCAAAAACAATTGAAATAACTTGACATTTGTCAAGATATCTGTCAAATTATTGTTGTGCCTGAATAGTTTTTGCCGAAAATTTAAATAAAAATGCCTGGAGATCGTTAATGAGGATTATTTTAATGTGTTTGTTATTTATCGAAAATGTGACAAAATTTCAAGAACGTAGAGAATTTGCTGCGTTGCAAATTTAAAATAACAAATTTGACGTGAACTTCCGGTATAACCGGGAGTGTTACAGGAACAAAATTGAAAAGGGCACACCCAAAAACCCTAGTGTGCCAAATTTCAAAATTGAAATCGAAATAGGTTCTGAAATAATCTAATAAGAGACTCACTGTGAGCAACCCGGTATTATGATTTAAAAAATTTGTTTTTTCCCTAAAAATAAATTCTAATTGTTTATAATTATTTTTCTTTATTTCATGGTTGTTTAAATAATATATTAAAAATTCTATCCTTTCTCTAAATTTATAATTTGCAAATCTCCAGAATATTGAAGAAAAAAGATTATTTGTTAAAAATGTATTAGTTTATTTACTTAATAATTTGTTATAAACAATCGTTAACAGTTCTGTTATTTTTTTTAACTAGAGAAAAAAATATAAAACCAACCATATATAATTTTTTGTCAAATAATTTTTTTTCGATTTTTTTATAGCGTTTATATTTTTCGAGGTATTTGCAAAAAATCGGACCCTTTTTTTAATCTTTATTTGTTTATAACTTTTGCAGTTGTTTATGTGTGAATACGATTTTTATGCACATTTTTCTAGACATGACGTCCAAATCAAATTCTAATTATCAGTATTTTTCACGGTTTTGAAGATGTTAAGTATATAAAGGGTGGCCAAATGAAAACGAAACAGAGCCATTTTCAGGAACTGCGTCAAGATTGTAGAAAAACGCTCAGACCCGTCGATTTTAGATTAAAGGGGGACATTCTTTGCTCGTATTTTTGACTCCGCCACTTTCACCGCCCATGCTGCTGAGTATTTTGATAGGCCAGTAACATAGTCGAAAAAAATCGTTGGCGCGACAGTATTATTTCTTTAAGGAGGTTGCTGTACTGAAGAAAATTAAAAACTTATAGACCAATCGTTTTTTCCACTCTAATTAAATGCTATAAAAAATATAGTAACACAATAATGGAACACCTAAGACATATTTTACCCATGCCATTAGATAATTCTTATCATGAATTCAGTCTCGTTCATATATTGCATTTTTTTTATTAATGCAACTCATTACATTATTGGCACGACGCGACGGTGCTCCGCCGTTTTCGGTTTCTTTTGGACAATGGACAAGGTCGTGCGAGTTGCAAAACATTCAACGAGGAAAAAATTAATTAGTTTCTTAAGCCACCCGTTTGCGGATTCAGTAATGTTTCCTAATTGAAAAAAATGAGACCCTGTCCTTATGTAACTGTTTTGACGGTGGAATAGATTATTAGCCCCTCTTCTGCGCAAAAACTATGATTTAACTTTAGTATTTCCGTAGATATATCCCCCTGTTGTGAGAGAAAAAACTATGGGACTCAGATCTGGATTTTTGCACGTGCAGTCAGGAGGGGATAATTAATTTAGTTCTGATTCAAAATTCAAACCGTGCTTCAAAATGATATAAAATATTTTGGGCTAATTATATAGACATTCAGTCCATTTTCCTCAGTTTCCTTGTTCTGGATTTAGTGCAAGGTTAACGTAAGCAAGGAAAAACTGAATGATTTTTAAAACAACTCTACTTTTTTTCAGAACAAAAAGGAAATATGTTGTTGTTTCGTAACGCGAAGAGATTTTTTCGAATATTTATTTATTAACAGCAAATTGTTTCCTGTTTATTCTACAGTTACGGTGAAACAGAAAAGGGTCGCACAAAAATTAAAGGCGTATACACACGATACGGAAAATCTCACACTCGTAGTCTTAAATCGTTTTGATTTTTCTAAAGCCGAAACTAAACAAACAGCGAATCTAAAACTTCGCTATGTTAATTAAAAAACTAAGAGATGGTTAAAAAACCTTCAACGAATTTCTTAATATGTTACTGTATATATCATTACATTGAATTATTTCTGTAAAAAGTATTTGCATTTTGCGTCAATATTTTTCCTTCAAAAACCCATTAAATAATCGAAATTGTCACTGATAGTGTAGTATATATTCATAAAATTAACGAGATTATTGTCGTTACATCTTATTAACAGACAAACAATTTTAAGTGCATTTGCTAATGATGCCACTTACCCTGTTTTTCATTAAGAGTGGAATATTTACTATTACTCTAAAGTTTGAAGTTACTACTCCGTTATTACTTTAATAAGTTATTAAAAACTGTTCTAACGGTTATTACCGTTAATGATCCTCTAACTACTTACCTGCGTATTTTTTTATTCGCTCGAGATAAATAAAATTGTACAAGTTACAAAAAATAACTAATATGCACTCAACTGATTAAAAATGCCCATTGCTACACTCACACCTGTATTCAGACTGCTACTAGACCTCGAACTATTCTTCTGTTCTCTGAGGGCATCCCTAAACACGAAGAATTTTAATGCGTGATCGATGTCAGTGGTGTCGACCGGGGGTTGAACAAGTAACGAAAAGCTAACATTAAATTCTACTCTATTAATTGGAATTTATTTTATTCAACAAGATTTAGTAAAAGTAAGTTCTTTCCTGTGAATATTTTACAGTAAAATTAAAACAGGAAGATATAAAGGCTGTCCCAAAAAAACGCAGGATTTATATGAGGAAAAAATATGTTATTAATTAGTAGGCAAAGTTTTTACATGTTTTTAAAGGGTAGACATTGTCATTAAATATGAAAGAGTACATCGGACAGGAAAACGTCGCATAGTGTAGGATCACATGATCTTGGTAGCCAAGTGACTTTAATGTGATGAGTTGTCCATTAAATTTCTGCAGCAACAAGTGGACAGTTTTACGTGCCGTATGTCATCCAAATCCAACCCATCCAAATGAAGCCACAAAAAGTGTAATATCATCTCTCGACATCGTTCTCCATTGACAGTCACTGTATTTCGAGCCTCATTTTCAAAAAAGGACAGACCAATCACCCCACCAGCGTAAAATCAACACCACACTGTCACTCTTTTGATAACGGTGGTCATTCTTCTATGACTCGGGGTGTGGTGAAATTCTGTCATTGTGTGAGCGTCCAGCT